AAAAAAAAAATCACTAATATATTTTTACTGAGGTGATAGTCACAACATTAAATCAACCATTTGTAAGTGAACAATTCAGTGGCATTTGGCACGTTCACAGTGTTGTCCAATCACCACCTCTATCTAGTTCCAAACATTTTTATCACCCCAAAAGGAAACCCTGTATCCATTAAGCAGTTACTCCCCATTCCTTCCTCCCCTCAGCCCCGGGCAACCATCCATCTGCATTCTGTCTCTTTGAATTTACTTACTCTGTGTGTTTTATATAAATGGAATCATACAATGTGTGACCTTTAGTGACAGGCTTCCTTCACTCAGCATAATGTTTTCGAGTTTCATGTGCACTGGACCATGTACCACTACTTCATTCCTTTTCGTGGCCAAATAATATTCCATCACATGGATATGCCATGTTTTGTTCATCATTCATCAGCTGATGGACATTTGGGTTGTTTCTACCATCTGGCTGAGGTGAATAATGCTGCTATGAACATGCATGTACAAGTATTTGTTTTAATTCCTGCTTTCAATTCTTTTGAGTTTATACCTATAAGTGGAATTGCTAGGTCATGTGATAATTCTATGTATTTACTTATTATTATTTTTTGACACAGAGTCCTGCTCTGTCACCCAGGCAGGAGTGCAGTGGCACGATCTCAGCTCACTGAAACCTCCACCTCCCAGGTACAAGTGATTCTCCTGTCCCAGCCTCCCGACTAGCTGGGATTACAGGTACACACCACCATGCCTGGCTAATTTTTGTATTTTTAGTAGAGATGGGGTTTCACCATGTTGACCAAGCTGGTCTCGAACTCCTGACCTCAGGTGATCTGCCCACCTTGGTTTCCCAAAATGCTGGGATTACAGGCATGAGCCACTGCGCCCAGCCTGTATTTACTTATTTCTTTTTAAACTTAGGCATGCTTATTAACTTTTTCTTCTTCATTTTCTTTTGTGTTTGTCTTTTCCACTTTTAGTGAGGTATAATTGCCCAAAAAAATTATATATGGTGTCCAGTGAGATGTTTTGATCTATGTGTACACTGTGAAATAATTATCATAATCAAGCTAATTAGAAATCCATCTCCCTTTGGAATTCACTTGCATTGAAGAAGTAATACACACTGGTGTGAATAATTCGAATAGAACAAAATGTAATGTGGGAAAAGGAAATCTGTCTCCCACTTTGATCTCCACCTTCTTGAGAAGTAACCACTGGTTCCAGGGTTAACAGTTTCCTTCCATACATTTTCTTTCTTTCTTT